AATATCACAAAGGTATTGATTACATCTTTGAATCTGGAATGAGGAACCTGTTTCTAGATTTTACCAAAGTGAAACTGAGCAAGTTATCTAAAGTATCAACAGAAAAACTGGGATCACCTGGACAATTTAGAATAATTATGCTGTCCAGATTCTGGGATCACTGAGTCAACAGGAATGCACTATCTGTAGCAACTGAGGCAATTTGGGATAATTTGTGCTCTTATTCCAGGACCACTGAGTCAACTGAAACTCTGTTATCTGTCTTAGTTCCCAGAAAAATGTGCTTCAGTAACCAGTGAGATCACAATCAATGGGATATTCAAACCGTCATCAATGGAGTATTGGGATAGCATACATAAGTTCAGAAAATCAAAATAACTTTAAAATGAGTACAGAACTCAAAACAGCAAGGTTAAAATATTAAACAGCAGTTTTACCCAATTATGGTTGCTACCATACTTCACTATGTTCTTAAAAAATATCAGTGCTACGTAAGATAAAGGCCATGAACTATTCCAGATTAAAGAAGGCTGATGACAAATGCTGGACTAGACTCACTTTGTACTTGAGGTGGTGGGTGGGGATGCTATAAGGGCATTTATTGTGCTAAGTGACAAAACTGCATACAGATGATGATAACGCATTGTGTCAGTGTAACATTTACTGAAGTTGATAACTGTACTATATTTATGTAAGAGAATATCCTCATTCTGTGGAAATACATGCTCATACCGTATACTTAGAAATAAATTATATGGAGAAAGGGAGAGAGGGAGGGGAAGCAAGGGTGCATGCCATAAGCAAATGGCAAACGATGGGAAAAAATGAGTAAAATGTTAACAATAGGTTGATAATGGATAGAGTTTATGGATGTTCTTTGTATACTATACTGGCAATTCTTTTGGAAGTTCGAAATTATTTCCAAATAGCTGTAGCCAGTTTGGCTCAGTGGATAGAGCATTGGCCTACGGACTGAAGTGTCCAAGGTTCGATTACAATCAAGGGTACATGCCTGGGTTGCAGGCTTAATCTCCAGTAGGGTATATGCAGGAGGCAGCTAATCAGTGATTCTCTGTCATCACTGATGTTTCTCTTTCCCTCTCCCTTTCCCTCTGAAATCAATAAAAGAATATTAAAAAAAAAAAAAAAAAAAAAAAAAGCCTGGGTTGGGAGTCTCCTTCTCTTTATGAGGTGTTGATTAAGCCACTCAAATTTCTTTATTAGTTTATTCCAAGTTTTGTATACTTTGTGCCAATTTTGCTACTTTCCTAGAAACACCTATTTTCCCCCTAAGTTTTAAAGTATATTGGTATATATAGTTTGTAATATTTTATAATTTAAAACAATTGGTTTTGTCTGTAGTTCTTTCATGTTTTTATACCATAGTTTAATTCATATCCTCAACTATCTTTAATTGGTTTTGCCAGTTTGTCTTTTTAAATATTTTCTTCAAAGGACCAACTTTTGGTTTTCTTTAAAAAAAATTTTTTTTGCATTTTTCTTCTCTAGCAATTTCTGTCGTTTTAGCCTTCCTTGTTTCTTTGGATTTACAGTGTCTTTTGTCATTTTTAGTATTTATCTTCAATTGCCTTCAAAAGCATAGTTTTCCTGTTCTTTTATCTATATCTCACCAATTTTGACCTGTAAGTCTTCCGGTGTAATATTTCATAATGTTCTTATTGTTTCCTCTAAATGAAGGATTATTCTGCTACATGATTCTTTCGCCAGGCTTAGAATGTTGTTAGTTATCTTTCTGTTTCAAAGTTTGTTGCAATGTGCTTGGAGAGTATAGTTTACTAGATTTTGATCTTTGAAATTTGAGTCTTCTTTTGAAGCTTTAGTAGATGGTCATTATTTGGGTAATATTTTATATAGTGTTTGAAAAGGATGTTAATTTGAATTTGTTGTAAAGTCCTATATATTTGGGCAAGCTTGTTGCCTATATATAATAACAAATTTCATGTTTTCTTAGGTTTTATCCATTATTATTTTGTAAGATAATTTAAAATAGGCAATCATAATTTTTTACTATTTTCTTTCCACCTTTAGCTATCAGTAATTTTGCATATTTTGAAGTGATTTTGTTAGGTGCATATGTATTTATAATCATTATATCTTTTTACCAATAGATAATACATTTCTCTCTTAGTGATAGTGTTTTTTCAATTAACTTAAATTTTGTCTACTTAATTAAAATTGATACTTTTAAAAACATATATTTTTATTGACTTCAGAGAGGAAAGGAGAGGGATAAAGATAGAAACATCAATGATGAGAGAGAATCATTGATGGGCTGCCTCCTGCATGCCCCCTGTTGGGGATTGAGCCTACAACCGGGTGTGTACTTTTGATTGGAATCTAACCCAGGATCCTTCAGTCCGCCCGCCAGTGCTCTCTCCACTGAGCCAAACGAGTTAGGGCAAAGTTGATGCTTTATAATGTTTTGTCATTATAACTTGAATGTTTAATGAGTTGAAAATTATGCCTAACAAAGCCCTGTATGTAACATAATATCTGGTACCTACTTGAAAGCCTTAAGTGCTTATATAGTTTCTTCTATATAAGTCAGAGGGGAACAATATTAACTCATTTGAAAGTTTGATAGACTCCAGTTTAGTTTTGCCTCCTACCTGATATTTATTGGCTTATTTGCATATCAGCATATTCTTCATTGCACATTAACTTGTCCTGAAATTTATTATATTTCAATATTTATTACTGAATTTTATTTCAATATTTATTAGGTGGAATTATATTTCAAAATTTACTAGGTGGAAATAAAATAGTAATAAATTTTGAATTATAATATTTCTTTGATAAATTATAGAAATAAAAAACTGTTGAAGACAGTTCAGTATTTCTGTTAGGCAGATGTAAAATGTTATCATTCTGGGGCATTGATGTCATTAAAAATGGTGTACCAGCAATCACTTTCACATTAAAGATTGTTTTCTCTCCCATCCAAGTACTAACCAGGCCCGACCTTGCTTAGCTTCCGAGATCGGGCGCATTCAAGGTGGTATGGCCTTAGACAAAGATTGTTTTCTCTCAATGAAGTCTTCCTTGGCACTTCAAGGCTCAGTTTAGTTGCTAAATTCTCAAGAAAAAAATTTCCTGAGTCTTTCTCCTATTCCCTTTGGTAAGAACTAATTGATACCCCTTCTATCCTAACATTTAAACCTTAATGATAATTTTTAGAAGCATAGTTGTAACATACTCTTTAAAACATCAGAATGTTTGGCAATATTAGATTCTAGGTTGTCACTACAAGAAAAACTTCAGTCACTATACATTCATGTTGAAAACCTTCAAGAAAAAAAACTATGTAGAAATGTACTTTTTAAAATGAAAGGAGTTAGATTTAAGAAAAAAATTGAAGTCCTTAAAATATGCCTCTTGAATCTAGGCATTTACTTTATTCAAGGTTATTCATTCCTCCTGTACTTGTAGTATTTTTTAAGAATCTTGTATTAAGACCACACCTAAAAATGTTTTTGTGGAAATTATAGGTAAATAACAAGTTTTCTCATTAAAATAGATGAATACATGTGTAGTCTCTTAATATACTTTTTATCCTCTATAATGTATAACTAAAGGCCTGGTGTATGAAATTTGTACACAGGGGCGGGGGAGGGGGGGTTTGTCCCTTAGCCCAACTTGCACCCTCTCCAATCTGGAACCCCTCAAGATGTTCAACTGCCACAGGCAGTCAGACATCCCTCTCACAATCCAGGACTGCTGGCTCCCAACTGTTAGCCTGCCTGCCTTCTTGATTGCCCCTAACCTCTTCTGCCTGCCAGCCTGATTGATGTCTAAATGCTCCCCTGACAGCCTGTTTGCCCCCAACTTCCCTCCTCTGCCTGCCTGGTCACCCCTAACTGCCCTCCCCTGCAGGGTTGATTGCCTCCAACTGCCCTCTCTTGCAGGCCTGGTTCCTCTCAACTGCCCTCTCTTACAAGCCTGGTCCCTCCCAACTGCCCTCCCCTGCTGGCCATCTTGTGGTGGCCATCTTGTGTCCACATGAGGGCAGGATCTTAGACCACATAGGATCAGCTATCTTGATCTTGTGTATTGGAGTGATGGTCAATCTGCATATTACTCTTTTATTAGATAGGATAATAGTGATAATGGACATTCTTGTCTTGTTTCAGATCTAAATAAGGTATTTTTAGGTTTCTTCACTAAGTGTGATACTGGCTTTTAAGCCTGTGTTATATATATATTTCCCATGTTAAATATCTACTTATTTTATTGACTTGTGAGATGTGTTAAGTTTATCAAATTTTTTTAAGTGGCTGTGGAGATAAAAATATTTTTCCTTGATGTTTTTTCATGGCAAAACTAAATAAATAGATTTTATTATATTGAATGACTTCTGAATATCTGCTTGGTCATAATATTATTTTTTGCTGTGTTCCTAGATACTTTCTTCTTTAATGATTCTTTAGATGTTCTGTGTCTGATTTCATAAGTGGAATAAACTGTGGTATTCATTTGTGTGTGCTATTTCTGTTAATTTTTGATGTCCCTATTATGTTCCCCATATAAACCCAATATGCTTTGAAATAACATACGTAGCTTTAGCGTTATTTGTTCTTAATTGTTTGGTAGAATTTAGACTATCATAGGCATCTGGTGCTTTCTGAGGTTAGTTAGCTTTTTGACAGTTTTCCCTGTTCCTTCTGGGATGATAATCAGATACTCCTTTTGTGAAGTCTTTTCTGTTTTACCTTCATGAAATTAATAATCCCTTATTGGAATGCTGATAACAGTATATTTTTTACTAGGGCTTTAAATAAAAATTCCTTGTGTTAGGTACATTTGTCTTTATCATTAAATTAAATTCTTAAGGGCATTAGATAGGAACCATCCTTGTGTTTATTGACCCAAATTCTAGCGCATAGTAGAGAATATGTGGGCTTAACATCTTTTCCTTTTTCTTTTTCTTCCTTTTTTTTTTTTTTTTTTTTTTGGTGGTGGTGATAACGGACATTTCACAGGCTTCCCAGTTGGCCGGTGTGTTGTAAAGAGAGTTCTTCAGCTTCACCTTCATCATATTACTCTCAAGATGACAGTTGCGCGCTAGAAAATGAAGATGTACAATTCCAGAAAAAGGTACTTTAAAGTTGACAATGTAATATGTGTGTCAGCTTTCTAAGACTTCCTCAACATATTCAGAGTAAAAGTAGTTTAAAATTATATGACATAATTTCTGGTGGTGGAGATTTATAATATTTTCCCTCACTGTAATATGAGAAGTTACTTGGGTAGTTCTGAAATAAAGCTATCACCAAGATATTTATATATTTACTAGAGGCCCGATGCACGATGACCTCATTTAGTGTATAAGGGGAGTACAAGGAGGGGGAGTGCAGGAAGATAGATAAACGTGCAAACAGATAAAAGCTTTTAGAGTCAAATGCTTTCAAGGCAGTGTTTGGGTTGTAAAATATAGGAAGAGATGGTCTTTAATATTGCTTCAGGACTGTTGTGTGAAACAATTTCTATCAGTTAGCTTTTTGTTTGTTGCAATATAGGATGAACAAGAGGGACCTATCAGTGCCGAATTATCAGGAAAAGTGGGTTCAAACTTACCTGTTCTTCCAGAAGAACATAAGTTAAAAGATGACTATGTTGTGGATGTACAAGTAAGTTATGCTGCTTTGACTCTTAATTATATGCCTTTTCTAACTACTTCATAAAATAGGAAATCTGTTTGGTTAAAGTATTGGATATTGATTCTTTTTCTTCTTGAAGAACTATTCAACTGGCTTTAGTATTATTCAACTGCTAAGACTATTACTGCTTTTGAGAAAATGCACAATTACAGATTGAATAATAAGTGAGACCATTTTCTCTGTGGTGAAAGTTTGGATGTAAGTGCTCATTTCTTCTTAGGTTTTATTTTTGCCCATTATAATGTATCTTCTCTCTTCAGATTTTCAGGTGTTAGGAAATTTTTTTCTGACAACAACAAAAAGTATTTGTGTGTAGAGCACAGTATTTTGATAACAAAATTTAATCACTTTTGTGGAATATGAATTAATAATAGATTAAAATGTTTTCCTTTTTTCTCTCCTATGTCCCAAATATTATTTTTAATTTTGTACCCCAGATTTATGAAAGATACTAAAAACTAGACCAGAATGTAAGCTGACCAGAATGCTGAAGCATCTGGAAACCATTTAATATCAGACATGGCTGAAGGAACTGGAGATATTTGAGCTGGAAGAAGAACTAGGGAAAAACAATCTCACATATTAACAGAAATAAAATTTCAGCTCTTTTTTAAATTTAGCTAGAGCTATTTTATGACTTAATTGGGTTATTTAAGGAGATATAGTAAGTTTTGTTTTGTTGTGTTTGGAAGACATTTGTCAAAGATTTGTGCCTGAGAGAGAAAAGTGATCTCTCTATCCCTTCTAATTACATGATTCTCCTGAACAGTCCTACCATTGTTCATTTTCCAAAATTTCCATCAGGCATACTCTTGCTCAAACATTTTGAAGTTGCTTATTGCACATCTTATAGACTCTTGCTGTTCAGTATCATGGCCACTGGCTACATGTGACTGTTGAGCCCTGGAAATTCAGCTAGTCGAAACTGAGATTTGCTCTAATTACAAAATATACATCAGATTTAATTTATAAAAGAAAAGAGTGCAGATACCTCAAATTTTACATTAAATACATGTTGAAATGATAATACATACAATATTTGTTACTATGTACTAATAGTCCTTGTTCTTAAGGCCTCCACCATAAAATGCAAACGATTTGCATTCCACTGAATTTTTCATTTCATTTCATTTCAAATAATTTGCCACATGATCACATTTTGTATTCTGACTATGCCTTGTATTTTCTTTCTGCTCATATACTGGCCCTCCTTTTCTTAAGGATCCTAGTTTTTCTAGTCCATAGTCTCTTCTCTGAACTGAGCATGAGCACCTCTCACTTGATATTTATTCATTTAGTAAGCATTGGTGCTGCTAGGTACTGAGAATATGGTGCTGCTAGGTACTGAGCATTGGTGCTGCTAGGTACTGAGAATATGAAGATCAAGAGAATAGTCTTTAATCAAGGTGTTTATAGAAGAGTTGAGGAAAAAGAGATGTATAGATGTTGTGATAAAATTGTACAGGGAACATTGGAGCCTAGAGGAAGAGGGATGGCTAATTATATTTAGGGTTGGGTGTGGGGGAGGAGGAGCTGGTAGGGTTTTCAAACATGAGTAGATATTAGGTAGATTTCAGACTGTGTTTGGGAGGGACAAATGGCTCAGAACACCCAGGACTGAAGGAGCAGCAAGATTCCTAAAGGCCTTCTAATGTTACTTGCACATGCCTTGTGCTGTTTTTGATACTCATTATTTTTTTTAACTGCTCAGGGGTAAGAACTGTGTGTTGTATTATTTTGTACATTTACATAAGATTTCTATGTTGCTAGTAGGATTATTTAATTACAGTAAGAGGGAAATATTTGTAGGTCCAAAATAGAAAATAGGAAAGACAAAAGATAAACTCCTTTGTCCTAGTTTGTAAATTTTAATATGAACTATATTTCTTAGGATGGTAATATTGGAAGAAAGGACTTTCACTCTTTTGGTGAACATTCTTTATATTGCCACTTTTGAGATATACTTTTTATATAGTCCTATTCAGCTAAAGAGATAATTTATTAATCTCAATATTTAATATAAATTTCTTTAAAACAGAATATGGAGTCAAAAACGTTAAGTCCACCTGTGATTGAGACACACTCTACAATTGATCTACATGAAGATTCTTCCGCTTTAGTGGGCAGTGAAAACATTGAAAATATTTCCAGTTCATCTACCTCAGAGATCATTCCAATCTCAAAACTTGAGTAAGTGATTAGAGAGAAAAGAAAAAAGAATCTCATTAGATAGAAATATAGCAGACCTAAATTATAATGCCTGTCTTTTTATTATTTTTTAGTATAATGATCTTATAATGATTATTTATTTTGCTGCCCAACGTGGTGAAACTGACTAGATCCCAGCAGTGAAATCTCTATATCATTTAGTAGGTAAAGTGAGGTTCTAGTTATTTAAGAAACACAATACTTACTTGAGGAATCGTTTCTATAATTATCAAAAATTCAAGTGTCAGATTAGTCATTGCATTAAGTATCACTATGGCATTCCAATATATAATTATGTGTTTGTGTGAATACCTTCCTTTTTCAAACTTGATAATAAATATTCAGAACATGTAGGCTTAGGTTTTCTTAATTTAGAAAACTGATTATGTAATTCTCCCAACTCCTTCGAGCAACAGTACAACGAACAAAATAAAATTTCCTTAATACTATAAATATTTCCTTTATCTAATGAGTTAATATATGTACAGTGCATAGGACAAAGTCTGGCACATAGTAAGAATATATGTGTCAGTTAATATTATCATTATCTTTTTTTTTTTTTTTTTTTTTTTTTTTTTTTTTTTTTTACCACAAGCATTTTAAAAATAAAACATCTATTCTTCTTAAGAATGTAAGGGCCAGCCGAGATCGGTTTGGCTCAATGGATAGAGCGTCGGCTTGGGGACTGAAGGGTCCCGGGTTCGATTCCGGTCAAGGGCATGTACCTTGGTTGCGGGCATATCCCCAGTAGGGGGTGTGCAAGAGGCAGCTGATCGATGACTCTCTCTCATCGATGTTTCTAACTCTCTATCTCTCTCCCTTCCTCTCTGTACAAAATCAATAAAATATATTTAAAAAAAAAAAAAAAAAAAAAAAATAAAAAAAAAAAAAATAAAAAAATAAAAAAGCATCTTTAAAAAAAAAAAAAAAAAAAAAAAAAAAAAAAAAAAAAAAAAAAAAAAGAATGTAAGGGCCAGGTTGAAGGAACTGTGCACAGAGATGTTCCAGTTACCATTTAGGAGTTTGTCCCAATATGGGACAAAGGAACAGAAGACATGCTTAGTATTTAAAAGTTTTAAATGTTTGTTCCAGAAAGAATTCAAGGCTGGGTAATATATATCTGAACAGTACCTTATTTTCTCATCATATTGAACATGACTTTCTAGTTAAATTGAAGTGATGAAGGGAAAAGTATTCTTTTCTGGCTTAGATTATGTTTTGGAAATCACTGGTATAATTTTTAACTTATTCTACATAATGTGAATAAAATTATCAGCTTGGGTTTTTTTTGTTTGTTTCTATTTTTAGTGAAATAGAAAAATCTGGTACTATTCTTATAGCCAAGACACACGAAACTGAGCAACCTGAAACTGACTGTGAAGTTGGTGAGGGCCTGGATGCCAGTGTTCCCACCGACCAGCCTTCCTTTGTCAGTCCCCATGAAAGGTGGGTGTGAGCAGCGGTTTCCTTTGTATGACTCTGTAGTAACAGCAGTGTCATATTCAAGTGGACTTTGGTGGATGCTTGATTCCACCTTCTGATTGAGAAAAGCTGATCCCTGTTGTGCTCCTTTTCAGTTTACTTTGTATGCGATAATTGTAATAATTTAGATTGTATAAATTTATTATTTAATAAAATTTGTTTAAATGTCTCTTTTGTTTTCAAATAGCCTTGTTGGCCAGCATATAGAAAATGTGTCCTCTGCACGTGGTAAAGGAAAGATAACAAAATCAGAATTTGCATCGAAAGTTCCAGCAAGTGATCAGGGTGGTGATGATCCAAAATCTGCATTGAATGCTTCAGATAATTTAAATTTAAAAAATGAGGTAGGTATTATGCATTGCACTATTTCCTAATTTGTTAATATAACACATTTTTGTTGTTAATTAATCTTGTAATTTGCTAACCATATTTGGTGTAAAATCAAGGATTAAGTAGTTAATGAAGAATGTGAAGCAGAAAGGGCAGAGGGTGGGGTGGGAACCTGGTGGAGGGGGGAAGAAATGAGGAACCTTTGTAATAATATGAACAATAAAGATTGATTAAAAAAAAAAAGAATGTGAAACAGAAATGAGCTGTGCTTCCTGAGAGTTTTTACTTCATGATACTCTTCCCAGTACACTGTTTATGTATAAGTTGTTCCTCATATGAACTCTGATTACATGCAGTTAAGTGGCTTTCTGCCACTATCATCCTTTGATATTAGATACATAAAATGTTTATTTAATTAAGCAGGTTCTAAAGAGCTATAAAGAAGAATCTATGACCATTTAAGTATCTTCAGAATATTAGTTAACTGAATAATACAAGGTTAAATTTAGGCTCTTCAACCAGAATTATTTCAAAGGGCTGTTTTACCTTTATTATTTATGTGAGAAATATTAGACTGGCTTATATGTGATTCTTTTTTTTTTTTTTTTTAATATATTTTATTGATTTTATACAGAGAGGAAGGGAGAGAGATAGAGAGTCAGAAACATCGATGAGAGAGAGTCATCGATCAGCTGCCTCTTGCACACCCCCCACTGGGGACATGCCCGCAACCAGGGTACATGCCCTTGACCGGAATCGAACCCGGGACCTTTCAGTCCCCAAGCCGACGCTCTATCCATTGAGCCAAACCGGTCCCGGCAAGACTGGCTTATATGTGATTCTTACCATAAAGACAGGACTCATCCCAGTGTGGCAGTTAACTTTCCTTTCTCCTTCTGAGTTCTACTTTGATTTCAGATAGAGACAAAAATGTCTTTTGGAACTATTTAAATCGCAAAGGATGTCTTTGTATTCTATGAAAGTTAAAATCTTTGTTTCTTTCAGAGTTCTGATTATAAAAAAACAGAAGAAATTGATCCTGCATCTGTGACTAGTCCCAAAGACCCAGAAGATATACCAACATTTGATGAGTGGAAGAAAAAAGTTATGGAAGTAGAAAAAGAAAAAAGTAAGATAGAACTGTTATTCCTTTTTATTTTATTTTTTTTTATAAAGGAACTGTTAAATATGCTTTTCTCTTTTTAATTAGTCAAATAAAAGAAAACTTTGAAAACTTTTTAAAGGTAATACTTACCAAAATACTATTAATTACCCATATGTAATTTATGTGTATAATTATATACAGATTAATTCTAATAAAAATCCATTCTTATAAATTACTCAATGAGGATTAAAAAAGGGAAAGATAGCAGAGCAGTGATTTCATTTCAATTATATGAGAGGAAAATTAAGGTATGGAAAGTTCTGAGTCATAAAGCTTTAAACTGTAAATACAGTTGCACTAAAGATATTAACACTTTCTTTTTGTTCTTGTAGACCAGTTCTCAGAGTTAAGAATTCTTAATATTGGGGACAAAGATAGAAGATAGCATTCATCCTTAATAGAATTAAATGTATTTGATATTTTTAAAAGCTTTTATTCTTGTGGATGAACTTCACTTTGTGTTATATTATTTAGACATAAATGAAACAATGTGGGTTTTTGTAGCTAATTTGTGTGATTGGGGTATTTTAAAGCGATTGAGGTAAAGCATTTTGAATTTCTCAATGGGTTTTAAAAATATTCTCTTAAGCATTAAAACCTGTTCTTTTCTAGACAGCATCTGTTGTTTTTGAGATCATTATGTTGCCGGGTTATTTTCAATCATAATCATCATACATACGTTTGTAATAGGTTTGTCTGCAGGTCAGTCAATGCATGCATCTTCTAATGGAGGTCTACATGCCACAAAAAAGGTCCAGAAAAATCGAAATAATTATGCCTCAGTAGAATGTGGTGCCAAAATTTTGGCAGCTAATCCAGAAGCCAAGGTACTTTAAGTATAAACATTTTCTACATATATAGGAAGCTAGTGACCTTAATAAATATAGGCAGTGATTTTCTGGAGATTATATTTTAACACGAGCTGTTTTCTAATGCGCTAGTAAATGTAGGATTATGCTTTTAAAGAGCTCTTCTTGTGTGAATTAGGTTATATTTGTTGATATATTGCACTCTTTCTTTTGAAGATTATTTTTTAGATTCATAGCAAATTAAGAGGAAGGCACAGAGATTTCCCATTCTCCCTCCCCTTACACAATACATTGCCTTCTCTATTATCAGTATATCTCCCACTAGAGTGATACATTAATTACAGTTGATGAACTTGTACTGACACAGTATTATCATGTAAAGCACATAGTTTTCAATCATACATTTGGTGGGTTTAAACAAATTATGTAATGACATGTATCCATCATTTTGGTAGTATGCAGGGTATTTTCACTGCCCTAAATATCCTCTGTGCTCTGCCCATTCATCCCTTCTTCCCCCAATCCCTGGCCACCACTGATCTTTTTAGTACCTAATAGTTTTTCTTCAGAATGTCAAGTAGTTGGAATCAAATAATCAAATAAGTTTTGTCCCAGTCTTCTCATGCTTGTTGGCTCACTTCTTTTTAGTGATGAATAATATTCCATTGTTGGATGTATATCGCAGTTTATCCATTTACCTACTTAAAGACATGTTCCCTGTTTTTAATTAAACCTGTGTGAAATTTTAAAAAGGGAATAATCAATAGAGAATCATTTTTCTTTATAGTAATAGACATTTAATTTCAAATGTGATGTTGTAAGACTAACAGTGCTATAGCCATGCTAGTAATTTTTAGCCAAATTAGTGTTTTTTCTCAAGTGAGTGTTTCAGAGTCAGGTGTATTTTAAGATCTAAAAATTCAAAAATCCTAGACAGCTTTAGAATTGAAATAAATATTTTTACTTAAGTAATTTATTCCTTCCCCTCTTTTTAAACTAGAGTACATCTGCTATTCTTATAGAAAATATGGATCTTTATATGTTGAATCCTTGCAGCACTAAGATTTGGTAAGTAATATAAAATTTAATAAAGCACACTCCATATATCCTATATAATAAAAGGCTAATATGCAAATTGTCCCCTTGGAAGTTCGACCAACTGGGAGTTCAACCGCTTGCTATGATGTGTGCTGACCACTAGGGGGCTATGCAGAATGAAGGCAGGCCCCAGCTGGCAGCTGGAAGGCCCCAATCGGCCCTGATTGCAGGACAGGCCTAGGGACCCTACTAATGCATGAAATTTTTGTGCACCAGACCTTTAGTATGTAGGTATTATATTAAACTTTTGTGTTAGGGTTAGATTGATTTTTTTTCATATAGTCCTTTAACAAGTACTTGTGATTGATTGGTGCTGATAATGTACTTACCTTAGGTCCTGGGATATAAAATTAGGATAAAATGCTTTTCTTACGAAGAAGGTAAAAAAACAAAACATAAATCCCAAACCAAACTAAACCAGTGATATAGATAGGATTTAGTAACAGGATTCTGTTACTAAAAGACAGAGAGGAAAATGTGAAATAACCAATTAGTGTTTATTAAATAGCTAGAGGCCCGATGCATGAAGATTTGTGCAAGAATGGGTCTTCCTTCCCCTGGTTGCCACACAGCCATGCTGCTTGATGGCTGTATATTCAAATTAACCCACCATCTTTGTTGGGTTAATTTGCATACTCCAGATTGGCTGGTTGGCATTGTGAAGGTATGGGCAATTAGCATATTACTCTTTTATTAGGTAGATTCTATAAAATGGAGATAATGGCCTTTGCAGTTTAAGGATGAATTAAATAATTTAACCTGGTATCTGACCCAGGGTGAGCATTCAGCATTCAGTGCATGTCAGCTTGCTTCATGAGTATCTTTCTGACACCTGATTGTTTTTACCATTTCCTAGAACTTGATTCTGTTGTCCAAGATTACACACAGTATGTTAATTTTAATGCTTTTGATTTATTTAACATTTAATTGTCAGTATATAATCTCATTTGATGTAATAGTTTATTAGTATTGAGTGCTAGATGTCATGAGTATTTCTTTTCTCCAAATACCATATACAGTTTAATTAACATACATGACACCATATTTTTCATTTTTTTTCTCTAAGCAGCAAGATTTGTGGCGTTTTTTTCCATGTCCATAAATATAGGTCTCTGGCATAATTTTTTAACAACAGCTTCATTGCCTGACCTGCATGGCTCAGTGGCTGAGTGTTGACTGATGAACCAGGAGGTCATGGTTTGATTCCCAGTCATGGCACATGTCTGGGTTGTAGGCGCAATCCCAAGTAGGGGCGTGCAAGAGTCATCTCGTCATTGATGTTTCTATCTCTCATCCCTCTTGCTTCCTCTCTGAAATAAACAAACAAAAACATTAAAAAAATAAGAATTAAAAAAACAGCTTTATTGAGGTATCATTGGAATACAATGAACTACATGTACACTAAACTGCAACATGTCAAAGTGTATAGTTAGTTCACTTGGACATTTTATATATAAAACCATCACCCAATAAAGATAGGGAACATATCCATCTCCCCCTAAATTTTCATGTACTCCTTTGTAATTTTTCCTTCTACCCCCCTCACCACAGCAATTACAGATTGGTTTTCTATCACTATAAATTATACTTTCCATATTTCTATATAATGGGAATATGTAGTTTGTTGTGCCATTTTTAACTGCTCTATGGTATTTTATTGTCTGAGTGGGCAATCCTCCTTTGTGAATCCTCACTGCTAACCATTTAGGTTAACTATCATCCCCAACCCCCAAACTGTGCTTTGGTGTATTAAAATATATAAACAAGAATGAATAAATGGAGTCATGTATCCTTAGGATAAATTTTGAAAAACGTGTTGCTAAATCTAAGGCTATGGTATTTCTTGAGACAATATACACTGAGCGGCCAGATTAATATGATCTCCAAATGCATAATAATATGACCACTCAAAAAACCCCCCATATATATATATATGTATGTATGTATGTATGTGTATATATATATATTTTAGAGGCCCAGTGCATGAATTCTTGCATTGGTGTGGTCTAGCCAGCCTGCTGCTGGTCAAACTCCTGGTTGAGGGGACAATTTGCATATTAGCCTTTTATTATATAGGATATACACTGAGTGGCCAGATTATTATGCATTCAGGGATCATAATAATCTGGCCACTCAGTGTATATGCCAAATTGCCCTAGACTAGTCAGTTTATACTATCACTAACTGTTCTTAATAAAGTAATTTCTTCTCCAAGAATGACCTTTCTCATTAAAGTACTCTTTAAAAAAATATTATGCATAAAATCAAGATCTCTTTATTTGTAGTCTCCCCTCCCTGACTAAAGATGTGCTTGGGAAATATTGGTGTTCCCTTATAGATAACTAACGCTGCAAATCATCCTTCTTTTTAAACAAGTCAGTTTATGAACATCTGGTTTATGCAAACTATTAATGTAATGTTTAATATGAACTATTGTTTTAATTGGTTTATCTAAATTGTCTTGTGTTTTTCTTTTTGAAGGTTTGTTATTGAACTTTGTGAACCAATTCAAGTAAAGCAGTTTGACATTGCAAATTATGAATTATTTTCTTCTACCCCTAAAGACTTTCTGGTTTCTATCAGTGACAGGTAAATTCTAAAGTTGGTTTCTATAAAATTTATGCTGGATCTCTAGAATAAAATTTTTTAACTTGATCACTTTTTAAATTTTTAATTATTTTATGTTTTATATTAATGTATTAATTTATAGGACCAGAAATAATAATACTGTAGTGCAGGCACTTAAGTAGTTTACTTTCATTAACCTATATAGTGCTTCTAACAACCTTATATTTATTATTGCCTTCTAAGATGAGGTCTTTTGAATGTTCTTAAAAAATAAGTAATTTATATTATAGGTATATTTTTTGTTAAAGTATATTTTGAAACTTTTTTGTTGGTCTGTATGATCATAAAAGAAAAACTAAACATAATTTATAAGGAATTCGGTAAATAGCCACAATTCTTTCAATCAAAGATAACTTCATTAACATGTTATATATTTCTTCATGTTTTCTATGCATTTATTTACTAATCCTACAAGTAAATTCAGTTTTTACTGTTTATATCCTAAGAATATTCTTTTGTCTTTTAAATAGATTATTTTAAATGAGTACTTAATATTTTCTCTCCAATTAAAGAGTTTATTCATTCTATAAATACTTTTTGAGTGCCAACAATGTGCCACGTAGGATGCTGTTATTTATTTAACCTTCCTTCTATTATTAATCATGAAGGATTTTCCATGGTGTTTCTTCCCCACCGCACACTGAGCATTGCATATTTTTAAAATAAATCTTCAAAACCTCTTGAGAATTCCATCCATTTTTTTCCTTCACTAATCTTGCTCAGATCACTTCCTTTTCTCTAAGCTGAAAATATTTATAATGTCACATGGCCATATTAGCTTTGACAGTGTGTGTGTGTTTATTTTGTTTCATTTTTGTGATAATAGAGCACATGCTATAATAATAATTATTTTGTTTTTTTATATTAGATTTCCTTTTTAAGATGGTATAGCTATGTTAGGTTTGTGAAATGCAAATATGATTTTAAAAGGTCTCTTCTTTTTCCCTGCCCATCAGTATTTTTATTGGTACTTTATTTCATCACTTACTGGCCAGCACAGGAAAAGAGCACCTCCTTCTTCCACAACAATCTGGCTACTTCCCGCTTTATAACCCCCAGTTTACTTGAAGCCCTCTCAAGAAACAATCCTGTTCCCATTTTCATCTTCTTGTCTTCCCTTCTATTTGATAATGGTGTGATTTTTCAAAATGTTCTTGCTCCATATAAAGGAGCCTGTCAGAGTTTTGGTTGGAAAAGAAAATGTATGTATTCCACTCAATATTTAACTCATATTCAAACTATATTAAGTCACTATGTTCACCTGGAGAGGAAAAAAAGTATTAATGATATATTTTGAAGATGTGATGGGACCTCTCAATATGTATTCCATGATTTTTTACAAAGAGTATTTCTATTTTCTAGGTATCCCACAAATAAGTGGATTAAACTAGGGACTTTCCATGGTAGAGATGAGAGGAACGTCCAGAGTTTCCCTTTAGATGAACAGATGTATGCAAAATATGTGAAGGTAATGTTTACACTTATGGGACTGTGTTCCAGAAGGAAAATATACCTATTACTCAGACTTTATAACCTCACTACACCTGCTTAGAAATCAGAAAAATTAAGTGGAAATTTACTGAAATATAACGTTTAATAAAATAACTTTTTACTTGGATACATTATTTTCTGAGACAAATAGTAATATATTTATTCCTTGAAACAAATAGTAATATATTGCTTTTGGTGTTACTGGAAACCTAGGCCAGTTTTTTTGATATTTGTGGCTCTGATGAAATCCCAGATTATAATTTTAATTTTCTTGAGTCTTTATATAAAAGTTCATCTTCACAGTGTCATATTTCTCATTTCCAAACCTATATCAGTGTTAGTCACTGAAGTTTTTAAGCAGGTCTGAATTCTTATTAAATATGATTTTTAAGTCATTTCAACTTTACTATCCAGTTATTTGTTGTTATTGTTATATATTTTGCCTTTTATGTTCAAGTAAAATATTCTGTGTCCAAATACTCATTTAAAATAAAGTCAACTTTTAAATGGTTTTATTTAGTATCCCGCTGCCTTCTTCACCAATAAATCAAGTAGAATTATCACTTTTGAATTGATTTAGACTAAATAAGGGAATTTTCTACTCTTTCCTCCCTCTTTTTTTTCTTTACAATAATAGCCATATTTTAAAGTACCACTGTGTCCATACTATGACCTGGAATGACAGCAGCTCTAATTTCTCCCTTTTATTCCTTAAATGTGGAAACTTATAGCTACTAATTATCTTGTGGGATTTTACTGTCTATGTCTTGTTAAGCATATATTAAATTGGCTTCTATAAGTGGGTAAACTTGTAGTATTCTTACTCTCAGTATAAACATGCTAAATTCTATTTTTAAAATAGCTGATATTCTCAGAAAAATGAAGGTACATTTTCAGCTCCTTTGAAAATGAATACTGAAATAATTGTTTAATGGCCTTATTATATTAGTATAGTTTCTACACTGTGATGAGGGAAAGCATTAGCAGGTGATACAGTTGTATTTAATTTTATAATTCATACAGTTCACATGTTATGAAATAATTCTGAGAATCCTTCTTTATACCATCTACTTTGTTAATAATAAAATAGCCTTTTCTTGTAGCATAAAAATATGCCAGAAAAATGTCCCTACCTTGGTTCTTTGATGGCCGGAGACTATAGAGCATTTTGACAGTTTCTAAAAAGTCCTGTTCAGTAGAATTATGCCTAAAACAAAAAAAAAAAAATGAAGTGTCATATAAATTTACCTTGATTTTTCATATCCCAAAAGAACTAAACCCAAATCTACAAACTACTCTTTAGTATCTTATATTTTTAAAGTGGCTTGATATATATATCTTCTATTAAAGTTATGCCTGCATTATCATAGTATACCAAAAATTCATGCTACCCCTAAAACAATTTATATACAATATTGTAAAATAATAAATATTTCATTTTATGCTAGTTAATCTTTTTTCAATATGTATGTACATATATATGTATATCAACATGTGTATTAGTATATAAATGCATATGTAGGTATATATATACATACACACACATACACACACATATATATGATGCATAACAATATTTAAAGTAATATAAGCCACAGGTTGTTTCTAGAGATTTTTTACATTTTGAAAGCTTTCTTAACTGAGAAATAAAAAGCAGCAATGAATTTTAGCTGAATAGCCTTAAAGTTAATTTATTTCATCACAGTGAGACTATACTTTTTAGTTGTGATGGTAAAAATTTAAATAATTGCTTTGGTTTTTATAAAGAATTAAGGGTACTACAATTTTATCCATCAAAGTACATTGCTTTCTATACTTTAATTGTGCAATAAAATTTACAAATATTAAATATTGCTTGTGGCATGTTATCCAGACTTTGGAACTGATTTCTTTTTCTTTTCCTTTCTCTTGCTTCAGATGTTCATCAAGTACATAAAGGTTAGCAACCTTCTCTTTTGCAATATTGGATAATAGGGCATGGCATACTACTGCATGGCAAAAAACACACAAACTTTTACAAGTGATGATTTTGGGGAAGTGAGAACTTTACTTTTAGAAGTGTTGTAAATGAAAATCTGAGTACATTCTTGGATAATCTCAGAGCACGGTGTTAACTTCCCATTTCATTTGCTTTTATTCTTAGGTGGAATTGGTATCCCATTTTGGATCAGAGCACTTTTGTCCATTAAGCCTTATAAGGTAACATAGAACAAAATACATTATTGAGTGATTTATAAATAAAAAGATACACAAAAATCCCAGTATGTTTAAAGTGAAGAAGTAATTTGCTGTTCTGTGAAGTTAATACCACGGAATTATAAGCTCCTACACCGTTTTTGCTCTTGAATACATTTTTAAAAAATGTCAAAATTTCCTCTGTTAAGTAAAAATAACCATCATTTTATGTGTTGGGTTTAGATTACTTGCTATTTTGCTATCACAGTAATACCGAAGACATTTTAGACTAATATCAGAATTTGGTCATTATATTTGTAAATGCCTTAAATAGATCAATTTTACACCATCAGTGGCTGACTACAGTGTAAGGAATAGTCATTTTGAAGTCCAAAAGCTAATGGCCCTCAAAACATGACCAAAGTTAATATATTTCATCATTTATTCTGAAGAGATAACCCTTAACTTCGTTTTGTTTTGAAACTCTTTAATGAAGTTATTGTTAATAGGGTATTTGGCACTAGCATGGTTGAAGAATATGAAGAGATTGCTGATTCCCAGTATCAGTCAGAACGGCAAGAATTATTTGATGAGGAGTACGGTAAGAGACTATTATGTATATACTTGAGGCCCAGTGCACGAAATTCATGCATGGGTGGGGCGGGGCGGAGTGGTCCCTTCAGCCTGCTTAGGTATGTTGTTTTTAACAACTAATTTTTCCTTAAACCTATTTTCTAAAACGAATTCTACTTTGTAACTTGTCTTCCAAGCTTATCAATCAATATTTGTAATTGGAGCTCCTTCCATAGCATCTGTGCTATAAATTATGATTCTTTCTCTATGCCAGGCCCAAACCTATTAAACTCATAAGATAACTGAAATAGTAGAATTGAGCATTAATTCCTTTAATTTGCACATTGAAGCCTGAGACTTTGAAAAACACCTGTGAGACTGAAGGGTTAGGATGGTTTATGACATTCTCCATTTCTACTTTATCAAGTTCTACATAGTTTTAAAATCTCTCTCTCTTTTTTTTTTTTTAATATATTTTATTGATTTTTCACAGAGAGGAAGGGAGTCGGATAGAGAGCTAGAAACATCAATGAGAGAGATACATCGACCAGTTGCCTCCTGGGGATGTGCTGGCAACCAGTGTACATGCCCTTGACCAGAATCGAACCTGGGACCTTTCAGTCCACAGACTGACCTTCTATTCATTGAGCCAAACCGGTTTCGGCTAGTTTTAAAATCTCTTAAACCATAATCTGAACAATCTAAATTTTCCTTTCAGTGTTTCTATAAATGAAATGAAGACATTGCAAGGGGTTTGTAAAGTACATTGAAAACTTGAATAAAAAGTCCTATATAGGCTGATTAAAATTTTGTTAATCAGTAGAATTACTTTCCTTGGTTTATATCTATTGGATAAGTGACTTCTGAATCTCATTTTCTTTTTGTCAACATATTTTAGATGTATAATGAATACCTATACTAATAAAAGGGTAATATGCTAATCAGGGTGAACGTCTTCCAGACGTCCATCCAGACAAAGCCACAGTGGCTGCAAGGGCCTAGGCTAGTGCCACTCGGAGGAGGTGGGTGGGACCGCCACTGCGGTGGGGGGATGCCGCCAGTCCAGTGGTCCCTTCCCCAGCCTGCCTGTGGTTGGGGGGCAGGGCCAGCGCTAAGAAGCAAGGGCTGAGGGCCTGCAGCTTTGGTGGCCGGCAGTGGCAGCAGCAGCAAGGTGATGGGGGCAGCGCCTTCTCTTCATCATCTTGGGCTCCTCCCACACAGGAGGACCTCCTCTGAGGGCTCCTGGACTATGAGAAGGGGGCAGGCCAGGCTGAGGGACCCCTCTCCCCTACCTTGTACATGAATTTTGTGCACCGGGCCTCTAGTTCACTATAGAATTTGTTTTAAATGCCAGCTGACTTTGACATAATCTGAGCTGTTAAACATGTTATGGAGATAGTTCTCAGTGTAAGTACCTTCATTGTCTCTTTAAACAGATTATCCATTGGATTATAATACTGGGGAGGATAAAGCCTCAAAAAACATTCTTGGTTCTGCTACAAGTAAGTATCTTGGGGGTTTTTCCAGTCACCGTTAAAGTGTTTAACTTTTTCTACCTGACATATGTGGTCATTTTGTTGTGGTGTAGTTTAGGAGGCTCATCATCCAAATGTTCATCTTTGAATTAACTTAGATACTGATTTTTAAAAGATAGTTCTATGGAAATAAAATTGAAAGGATAGATCAAAAGAGGAAAGAAAGAGGAGAGGTAAAAACACAAGCATAAAATTCTCTCTCTTTTTTTTTAATTAGTTCTACTCTTAATTAAGTGTTCATAATATTAGCAAATTTCTTACTGCGAGGAATGGAGTATGAATTCATTTAGGGACAGACTTTTAAAGAGGCCCCAGACCTTATGAGTAGGAGCAGCTAAGTAACCATACTGGATGGGAAAGGAATTTGAATTGTAATTTCAGAGGTCGGTACCCATCAGTGAAATCCTACCAAGGAAGGATTCTTTCATCTGTGGATATGATTAGTTTCCTATTTAAATATAAATGCTGTTCAATAATAATAATAATAATAATTCCCAAGGAATAACAATAATAGTAATATTAATACATACACTCTTTGAAAACTAAAGAAACAGTGCCTATGATTAGTGGCTTTGTTCTTGCATTCCAACCAACTATGTGAACCTAATGGTAGGTTAGCTAAGGAGACTTCTGGAAAAAACTGTTACTGACACTTTGTTTTTACTATTAGAATGTGGGTAGTTATATTTTAATGTTTGTTATTTTTTATTCCTGAAGAATGTAAAAATTACTAGGAGAAGCTTCCTTTTTATTTGGAGATTAATTTAGAAGATCTTAGTAAAATAGATTAACTGCTTTGCTTTTTCCTTGTTTTTAGTGAGTTAAATTGCTTGAGTTCCAGTCTCACAGCCTATTGACTATAGCTCTTTTAGATACTCACCCATAGTACATATACTAAGCATATGTATCTAAGCCATAGTATGTGGAATTGAGTCATTTCTTTTATTTTCTCCTTCCTGTCTTACTCTATATAGACTTGGGTGGATTTTTATTTTAGTCCTCACCCAAGGATATGTTACTGATATTTATTTAATTTTTAAAGTTCTTTATTGACTAAGATATCACATATTTGTCCTCAACCCCCCATTCCAATCCCTCACCTCTCCCCACTCATGCTCCCATCCCCTTATTGTCCTTGACCACTGGTTAGGCTTATATGTATGCACACAAGTCCTTTGGTTGATCTCTCCCTTTTATCCCCACACTCCCTTTGAGGTCCACCTGTCTGACCCATGGCTCCTTATGTCTGGGTCTGTGTTACTGATATTTAGAGAGAAAGAAAGGTAGAGAGAAAGAGAGAGAGAGATAAACGTTGATATGAGAATTATTGATCGGTTGCCTCCCATATGTGCCCTGACTGAGGATCAAACCCGCAACCTTTTTGGTATACACGATGCTGTTTTGCCTAACTGGTTATTAATATTAATTTTGATGTTCTTAAATATCTATTTAAAAATTCTATGTTATGTAATACTCCTCATAGTTCATTGTTGCTGAATTAGCTGTGAGGAAGCATCATTATTTTATATAGAGTCAGAAAATAGGTTACTGGAAAGGAGGGAGCCTCTTAGGGAAATAATGCATTAACTATAATTTTAGATAAAGAAAAACCCATTGATATTTTTTGGTTTCTTTTTCTATCTTCATATAGGATTAACACATGGATACCACTAAAACCTAGTTAGTTTAGTGGAGTTTTTTTCCCTATTTGTAATTACTACCCTGACCAATGTATTGTATTAATTAATTAGATACAGAATCTGTTTCAGATCCTACATTTTGGATTTTTCTCTTTGAAGGTGTATTTTCTATTAACGTATCATTTATTTTTCTTTTTATGGCTCTTGAAGGGCAGTTCATTTATCTTCCAGTGTTCCAGGTATTGGCAGGATTTGTATAGTGAGACTAGATGGGTGGGAGGATGTCAGCTGCCTAAGCATAGAAAAAGGGGTTTTAAAACATCTGAAGTTTCAGAAGGAGATAGGCATCAGGAGCTGAGTTATCATAAAGCTGATAGGCATGACCTAACACTGCTGCCTTCCTATGCCTGTGTCCTAGTTTTCTCTGAAAAATCTGGGACTGTGTTTGCGTCTGAGCTAGGTACCGCCTCCAAGATGGTGTAACTTTAAGGAGTAAATAACCTAGTGGAATCAGGTCAGAGAGAGAGTCTCTGGCACTAGAATGTCCACGTTTGACTACAATTATCACCACATTCTAAATTAGCTCAATTGACTGACTTTGAACCTAATTTATGGCTGGTATTTACATAGCATCTCCTAAACAATTCTGTGTCTTTAATCTTCATAGAAACTCCAGTAGCCATAGGTAATATGTCACCAGAGTGTGTTGCTTCTGATGGGACTTGGTTAACAAAAAACATGCATTCTGCATATTTAGAAATTCTTGATATTATATAGTTTACTTATGCCAAAAAGGAAGAAATTACTTAGAATGGGTTCTTGACTCTGTATGTATGTTTGTGCCAGTTCTGGCAACTCTTCATCTGATCCTTTCAATTACATTATTGAATCAGAATATTTACATATTTTACATCAATAAGAATTTTTCATATCACTCTGCTTTCTTTGTGCATTGTCCCGTGGATTTTCCAAAGAGAGTGCTCTGTGTTGATCTTGCAAGTCTCTCTTTCCTCCTCAGTATGGCCTGCCTTTTGTTAGAATTACAGATTTGCTGAAGGCCAGGTTTCTGTGTGTTTGTTTAAGACAAAGTATAGTTTTTGTCATAAGTCAAAGTATTTTTTATGATTGTATATGCTTAAAGTCCCAGAAGGAAGAGAGAGCGAAGCACGGTGCAAAAGTGTATTAATGCACACAGGAAGAAGTAGACTTTTTGTTGGTTTGTATGGTTCTGTTGTAGCATAGGTAGTCTGTCTTGTGTGTCAAAAAGAGCTGTTGCTGTGCTGGTCACTGAGTACAACATACTGATATTTGGTTCCTAGGAGGATTTAATTCTTAAAGGGAAGATAAGGATGAATAGTTGCCTAACTCAAAGATAAGGGGATGAGCTAATCCAGGAGAAATTAGGGAGAGGTATCTTGGCACTATCTTTCAGATTATTACCTTTGCCTATACTGAAGGCTTTTTAGTGGCCTTGATGACCATCATGGCAGGCTTGTCATGTGTTTGGGTCCAGATTGAGAAAGGTTAGAGTAGAATATTCATAAAGCTGCTTTCTCTTAAAAGACAAAAATAAAAGGCTATATTTAGCAGTGTTTTCTGAACATAGCAAAACTAGTTCTTATAGGTTAGATGGGTTGAGAAAGTATAAATTTGCTAAATTTTGCTTTTGTTAACTTAAGTGGCCCCTGAAATGATGCTAAATAATATTTTAAAGTGAAAGATAGTATAAATCTTTACTGTATATGTTAGCATTAAAATTTAGCTTGAAATATTCTCTAAAGCTACTTTCTTTTTCTTTTCTTAAATTGTATATAATAAAAAAAAGGCTAGTATACAAATTGACCAAACGGCCAATGACCAGTTGCTATGGCACACACTAACCTCCAGGGGGCAGATGCTCAATGCAGGAGCTGTCCCCTGGTGGTCAGTGCACTTCCACATGGGGAGTGTCGCGGAGCCACTAAGCTGTCAGTCGGACATCCCCCAAGGGCTCCCGTCTGCAAAAGAGTGCAGGCCAGGCTGAGGGGAACCCTCCCTCCCCCAGTGCACGGATGTTGTGCACCAGGCCTAGTTCTTTGATAATAAATGCCCCAAAATTTGAAATCAGAGGTAAGAATTGCTCTTGGAAGCCATAGATTTGATTCCACCATTGACTGAGCTGTAGCTAGCAGGCTAAGTAGAAGGGTCCATACTGCTCTTGCACTATTGGATGACATTAAAAGTGGGTTTATGAGGAAATAACATTTTTCATTGCTACTTCATCTTGGTTTGTGAGGATATACAAAGTTTCCATTCCTATTTTTATCTCATGCTAAGGCATTTCCTTAGTCCTCAGAAGTAAGGCTGTTTCTCTGTTTACCAGTTTGCCAGGCCAATGGACAAGGTTGACCTATAATCTTAGATATTCAAAAAGGAAATACAAAGCTTTTGTATGTCATACTAATAATGATTGGAAACAGTAGCCCTGCTTTGTTGTCTTTCAGACTGTAGAATCATATTTATGTAAAGATCAAAGTTAATAACTCTACTGGTTATAGCTCTTGAAGGAGTCTAGAGTCTCCTACTGCTCCTACCATAAAGCGCCCATTTACAGGATCAACTTCAGGTGACAGTTCCCAGCCTTCTTGATTGGCTCCTTTTCCTCCTTCATCCTTTCCAACTCTTCACATAAGTGGTTTTTATGGAAAGAGTGATAAAAACTCTGGATCTCTCTAGGAATCCTAAGGAGACTAAGATGGAAATACTGCTGAGTCTTAATATGTAGCGCATGCCAGATCTTAGTATTTTAATAGGAGAAATACCTGATACTGATGAATTAATTTCTAGTGGCATGTCAGAAGTTAGATTGGGGATAGAAATTAATGTCCCTGGAAGTTCCATCATATGATAGGAGGAAGCCAACTCTTTGTCGAGTTCTGCTGTTTTGTGCTCCTCACGTACCTTCAGCTATTTAAATAGATATGAAGGTTGGCACCACTGTACTCTTTATCCAAACATCCTCTTTGAAAAGAGGCAGGCGAAGGAGCAAATATGTAGATTGCTCTACATCCAACAATTGCAGTTTTATGTCTTTTAATGAATCTGCCTATGCTCATACTCCCCAGTTCACAAAAGACTTTGTGTGATTACTGTCCATAAAACTGGCAAAAGTTATCAAAGAAAGTTGATTCTATGCAGTATTAGTTTGGGGTTTAATCACATTACCAATAGATAGTATATGTTTATAGTTGAAAATAAAATATTTCTATTGCCCTTTGGATAATAATCTTTTTATTTTGTTTATTTTTACCTATGATAATCACCTGTTTAGGAAAAACTTGTTTCCTCAAGTTTTTTGGCTTTTAAACTGTAGAATGTCCTCAAAGGCTTTTCTGTAAAATACGAATTTGGTTGTCACATTTCTTCCCTGCCTATATGTTGAATTAAACTTGAATTTTATAAGGCTGAAGACAGTGTTTTGGTAAAAAGTTTGGGGAAGTTTTTTTGTTCTGTTTTTTTAAATATAGTTAACTTTTAAATTCTTTCTGAACATAACAATTTAGATTTATGCTTTATACTTTTTGGCTTAAGTTTGTGTCCTATATTGGACTTACATAGTAAGGTGAATAAAAAAGTAATTAGTCCAAAAAAATGCAAAAAGACCATTACAAATGGTTCTTTGATGATTTGATATTAAGTCATATGAGAATATTTAGGTGTATTGGTATTTCTTTCTGATTGAATTTTGTTTTAGATGCCATTCTAAATATGGTGAATATTGCTGCTAATATTCTTGGAGCAAAAACTGAAGACCTGACAGAAGGTACCTAATACTTTTATGGGTCTTTGAAAATATCTAATCGAGGGAAAATTCCTAATTAGGAAAATTACTTAATAAGCCAAGCAGTTTGATTTTTCATTTAGAGATATAGAAATGATTCAAAGGAACCTATCAGTCTTCTGTTATTCATTGTTTATTTCAGTTGCATAAATTCTCTTTTATAATAGGATCCTGTCTTTATAAAATTCATAAATTTGTTTTTTGATTCTCCCTTGCTATAGAGGTAAAGTGATCTTATCTCTTTCCTGAGCTTTTGATGCCCTAATGGTACTTCACGTATGCTTCATTTAGCAAATAGCTACTCAATTTAGAAAGCAAACCCTCCAACCCTTTACAGAATGCCAAGTAAGAGTGTTATAAACAAGGAGAAATAATCTTGCCCTTTAAAAACAACTTAGTTCTAAGAACAAACTTAAAACTACCTATTTATTTCTTTTCATTCTCTTTAGAAACTTTCAGATGTCTAGAAGGCATACTAACCATGTGAGATTACACGGAAGTTGCTCATCCTATTCGCTTTAGTTACCTGAGAAGCTGAGAAAGAATCCACATTATTTGTGGTTGTGATCTTGTACAATCATTTCTTTCTAAAATAACATGGATCAAAATAGTCTACAATAGCAAACCCATTTGACTTTTTTCTTCTATCCTGAGAAATTAAAGATCTTTATTTGTTATAGCGAAATATTTTCTTGGTATAGCTTTTAAAAATTAAACTCAACTTGGGCATCTTTCTTACAATAGGAAATAAAAGTATATCTGAAAATGCCACAGCTGCAGCTGCACCCAAAATGTCTGAATCCATTCCTGTTTCAACTCCTATTTCTTCATCTGAGTAAGTTACATCGTGATATTCGAGTTCTCTTAAAATATAGGACCAAGTCTATAGTATATAAAAAGTACTTGTGATTTGTGAGTGAAATGATTATTTTATATAGAAACTTTCAAATCCTGGGGCAGACATGCTATAGCGACTTAAAACATCTTTGAGTTGCTTTGGGGGTACTAGGAATACACTTTATTCCAGACCAACTATTTATTGTTTTGGTATTATGTATTACTTTTATTATTCACAATATTGAATTTTTTCCTTATTGCAAATAATTGACATAAGTCTACAACATAAGTTTGAAGATAAATTTCAAAGGCCTATTTTTATTAAATTCAAATTTAAAAGCATTGATTAAGTATCTGTGCTATGTCTAGAAAACTTTGAAGGATATCTGAAATACCTAGAGCAGTGACTCCTAAATATGTGTTTATCACACAGCAAACTCTTGCAGTGTTTACTTTCTCAAATAGAATGATGTAGGTCTTTTCCAGGTTATAGTGGGGCACTTTGGGCAGGGATGTATGTATGTATGTATGTATGTATGTAATTAACGTGTGTATGTAACATATAAAAATTATTTATTTGTCTTTTTTATCAGAGATGATTAAAGTGTTTGGCACTTTTCTTCTTATCTATAACAAATAAGCTATAATGACTTTGATAATTGGGCATAGTTATTATAAATTTATGTATATTTCATTGAATATACTCTCTGTAAAACTTTGAAAGGCCATTTTTTCCCTCCCAGAGATAGATACTTTAAGAGAATAAGATGTTTGAACATGAAATAATTCAAGGTATATATGTATGATACACACATTGGGTATGCTTGGAGTTGTAATTCTTAAATACTATATAGTTCAAAAATGAGATTTTTGTGCTTTGAAGGGCATATGACAAATTTGTATTTTCCTGTGTTAATTTTTTTTTAAATCCTTACACAAGGATATTTTCCCATTGATTTTTAGAGAGAGGGAAAGACAAGGTAAGAAACACATCAATTGGTTGCCTCCTGCGTGGGCCCCAACCAGAGACCGGGCTGGGGAGTAGCCGAAGTACTTGCCCTTGACTGGAATCAAACTCAGGAACCTTTGGTCCACAGTCTGATACTCTTTCCACTGAGCCAAATCAGCTAGGGCCCTGTGTTAACTCTTAAAGGACTAAAGATATCTATTGGATGATTAGAGAGAAAATACCATGTTATGTGTCATTCCTAGGAGTTCCTAAGAAATCTGTTTGGGATAGAGACGTTCTTGGTGTTCTAATTATGTAGAGTTGTGATTGCTAATTTTGATTTTGTAACTCGTCTTTTTCATTTAAGAAAACATGGTATGCCTTATATTTCAAAACTAAATGAAACTAATTTCATCATATATACACACACACCCCCACACATATTCATATATGCTCACCCCCAAATATACAGGAGTATTTGTTGGAAGATCACACTACTGTGACATATATTAGAGTTTGTTTTTTAAATACATATTTTTGCATAATTGTATTATTTCTTGAAGTTTTCTTCATGTATGTTTGTCTTAATTTTTTTATGATTATGTGGCAATCATCTAATGAAAATAAAAGAATTCATAATAGGGTGTCATGGTTAACATGAAAAGATGACTTTTCTTTTCCCAAGTTTTAAGTAAAGCTCTGAATAGGGTGTACATAGATGGTATATATAACTTAATTTTTACCAAATTCCATTTAATTTTTCTCCCCCTCCTTCAGACATTGTTCTATTTTACTGTCATAATTTCTTTGATAGATAATAAATGATAATACCACCTGGATGTATAAGAAATGTTATTAGTATATATACTATCTATATAATTTATTTAGAGAAGCATAGCCTACCTATGGTTTAGTTCTGGTTCATTTACTGTTTTACTGTCAATAAAATAAAAGTATAGCTTTTAGATATTATTTAATTTATTCTTATCTTTGCTATTGAGATATGAGTTTTTATTTGAAGACATTTCCTGGCATTTTTAGTAATTTTTTAGAGGAGGGAAATTTGTATATGCAGGTGTTTTTTTGTTTTTTCTTTTTCTTTTTTAACTCAAATTAGCTTTATAGTAGGTCCTTGGGTTATTTTGGAAATACATTCCTACAGCGCAACATAAAGTAATTTTTGCCATCAGAACCCACCTGCATAAGCACCTCTGTCACTCACATGGAGCCACCCACATACACAGCAGTCATGAAGTGAAACAGTAAAAAAAAATTTTAAAGAATATAACAATTCCTGACCTTTACCTGTGGTAAATAAAATAAATAATAAAAAACTTAAGGCACATATGTTCATACGTCAAAATGACAGAACTTTTTCTATATATAAATAAATGGGAGATGGCGATGTAACCACGAAACAACGTACGGAGAGTCCAACGTAACTCGAGGACTACCTGTATTTTTTCAGATTGTATCTTTTGTGTAATATGGGCCTTGCCCAGAAATGTATTCTCTTTATCTTGGAAAGAACCACAAGCATTATAATTTATAGCATTTGTCCACTAACTTTATCCCTCATTCTTTCCTGCCCTACACACACTCTCCAGAGCTCAAGGATAGGATTGAGTTAGTGGTACTACTAATTATCACTAGGATTTTTACTAAAGTGGTTAAGTTTTTGGTTTTCATAACAGAACATTAACCAGATGGTATTAAGATTATTTTGGGAAGAGAGGGATATGTTTCTTTTCCCTAAAGCATATAACTGTGTATGTATGTGATGCCACATTGGAATTCCTCCAACCATCCACAGAAAATGTGATTTGAGTCATCGGTCTGGTCACTTGATAAATGGTCTTTCTCTTACCATTTCTGAATAATAATTTGCTTTTATAATGAAAATTATTTGACAGGGAAAAAGCCATCCAAAAGAAAAATTGAATTTCATCTGTATTTATAGTCTTCCTTTTATCTTATGTATGATACATTTTCCTTAAACAGAATTAACTTTATATTTTTAATTAAAGTGATTTATAATTATGATATATATTTCTAGGATTATAAACACTGAAGAACAGAGACATGACACAGAGGCATCATCACCAGATACTACAAAAGAGAGCCCCATTGTACAGCTAGTTCAAGAGGACGAAGAGGAGGCAAGTCCATCTACAGTGACCCTTCTGGGTAGCGGAGAACAGGAGGATGAATCATCACCCTGGTTTGAGGCAGAGACACAAATATTTTGCAGTGAACTGACTACAATTTGTTGCATTTCTAGTTTTACAGAATACATTTATAAATGGTGCTCAGTTAGAGTTGCTCTTTATCGACAGCGCAGTAGAACTGCTGTGAGTGAAGGAAAAGATGATCTTGTATTAGCTCAACCATCAATACCACTCCCTGCAGAATCAGTAAATGTTTCGGAATTACAGCCTCCAGATGGAGAATTGGACAATAAGAATAAAGAAAGGGAAGCTGAAACTGTTGTTCTAGGTGACTTAAGTAGTATGCACCAAGGTGATTTGATTAATCACACTGGAGATATAATTGAACTTGAACCGAGCCGTCCACAAACTCTTTCTCAGTCTCTTCACTTAGATGTTACTCCAGAAATCAATTCATTATCTAAAATAGAAGTATCTGAGCCTATTAAAAATGAAGCAGGACACGCACCTTCACAAGTGATTCCCCAGGAGAGTTCTGCTGAGGTTGATAGTGCAATAGAAAAGAAGTCAGAGAGTTTTCGTTCTACAGAGAAGCCAACTGTGATGATCTATGAAACTAAACTTAGTGAAGTAATAGATAAGTCTGTAAAAGATGACACAAACTCCATGCAAATTATTACAAAGCCATCTGAAACAGTAGTGCCACCTATAAACACAGCTGCCATGCCAGACAGTGAAGATAGGGAAGCCAAAATGAACATAGCTGACACACCAAAGCAAATGTTGACTCCTATTGTGGAATCATCTTCCTTACCTGAAGTGAAAGAGGAAGAACAGACTCCAGAAGAAGCCCTTTTAAGAGGGTTACAGAGGACAGCTACGGATTTTTATGCTGAATTGCAAAATTCTACAGATCTAGGATATGCTAATGGAAATCTTGTGCATGGATCAAACCAAAAGGAGTCGGTATTCATGAGACTTAATAATCGTATTAAAGCCTTAGAAGTTAACATGTCTCTCAGTGGTCGCTATCTGGAGGAGCTTAGCCAAAGGTAAGCTTTATTATGAATTAGCATAATCCACTTTGCTCAGTGAGTTAAGTAGCGAAATGTGATCTTGACTAGAGAGGATTTCATTATCTCCTGATATAATACTACCCTGTTTCCCCGAAAATAAGACAGTGTCTTATGGTTTTGCTCCCAAAGATGCACTAGGTCTTATTTTCAGGGGATGTCTTATTTTCGGAGGATGTCTTATTTTCGGGGAAACACGGTAGTAAACACCATTTTAGCTGGAGAGAGAAAGTTACTTAGATATTGATGAGTGATCTCAAGGATTTACTTTCTGAGGAGTCCAAAGTGACATAACACCTTGATTATTAGGTTAAACTTGAATTATCTATAATCAGTTTCTTCTTTCTACTATTGCTTAACTTTAGCCATGTTTACTGTTTGATTCCCAGAGTACTCATGGGAAAAATTATAATCTGTGAACTTTAAAGCTTTTCGTGGGACTTGACCAGATATTGTTAAAAAATTTAAGTGAAGTCTAGAGTGAATGAATTGGATGATGAGGCAACATTTGCACTCTTTCAACAACTAGGATCCTGATTCTAGATGTAATCATTTATGTTCTTACGTGCCAGTGTGCTTGTGCAGTAATCCAGACTCTAGGCCCAGTTCTCCATGTTTTTAAACTTGCTTATTACTCTTTTAGTCCTTAAGTGTTCCTGTCCTTAGGGTTTCTCCTCCATCATCTTCATCTTTTTTTTTTTTTTTTTTTTTTTTGATAAAATAACCCAGAGGTGGAATTGCTGGGCCATATTATAGTTTTATTTTTAATTTGTTGAGGAACCTCCATAATGTTTTTCATAATAACTGCATCAATTTACATTCCTACCAACAGTATGCTGACTTTTCTTCACATCTTCACCACCATATATTATTTCTTGTCTTTTTTCACACCATTCTAACAGGTGTGAAGTGATAATCTTATTGTGATTTGTATTTTCCTGATGATTAGGGATATTAAGCACCTTTTCATGTACCTGTGACTATTTGTATGACTTCTTTGGAAGAATGTATATTCAAATTCTCTGCCCATTTTTAAGTCAGATTGTCAGGTTTATTTGTTTTTAATCTATTTTATTGATTTTTTTACAGAGAGGAAGGGAGGGGATAGAGAGTTAGAAACATCAAAGGGAGATAAACATTGATCAGTTGCCTTCTACACACCCCCTACTGGGGATTTGCCCACAACCAAGGTACATGCCCTTGACTGGAATTGAACTTGGGACCCTTCAGTCTGCAGGCCGACGCTCTATCCACCGAGCTAAACTGGCAAGGCAGATTGTCAGGGGTTTTGTTTGTTTTGTGTGGGTTTTTTTTTTTTTTCTTTTGCTCTTGAGTTGTGTGAGTTCTTTATGCATTTTGAATATTAACCCCTTATCAGATATGTGATTTGTAAATATTTCCTCCCAATCCATAGGTTGCCTTTTCATTTTGTTGATAGTTTCCTTCATGTAGCAATTAATAGTTTTATAGAGGCTTTTTAGTTTGATATAGTCCCACTTGTTTGTTTTTGCTTATGTTGCCTGTGTTTTGGTGTCAAATAAAAACATTGCGAAGACCAATGTCAGAGAGCTTATTGCCTATGTTTTCTCCTAGGAGTTTTATTGTTTCCGGTCTTACATTCAAGTTTTTCATTTATTTTTAGTTCATTTTTGTGTATGGTGTAAGATAGTGGTCCAACTTTAGTCTTTTGCATGTGACTGTATGATTTTCCAAACTCCATTTATAGAAATAACTGTCCTTTCCCCATTGTATATTCTTGGCTCTTTTCTCATAAAGTAATTGATCTTATATAATATGCAGCTAATAACTCTTAGATAGTATGAGATACATAGACTTGATGCTGAAGTTAACAGATACCTCCAATAACCTCTTATTTTACCTAAGAAAGTGGTCCTGTATTACACAGGCCTCAGTAAGTCATTTTTAGAAAAAATGGATTTGTTTCAGAAATTAGAAGTGTGTTCCAGTAATAATAAAAATTTAAGCTAATTTAAATCAATTCTTACTCCACAGGTATCGAAAACAAATGGAAGAAATGCAAAAGGCTTTTAATAAGACAATAATAAAACTCCAGAATACTTCAAGAATAGCAGAGGAGCAGGTTAGTCATCTTCATGCTTTATTTACTTTTTTTTTTTAATAATAATTTCCATTTTGTAAACTCTTGCTGATAAGAAGGCTAAGTAAGGTTGCTTTTCTTCCCCCCCTGGTAACTTATGATTAATCCTATTAATGTCATTTTAGAAAGTTTATGTAGCTATTAGTATTAACATTTCTTATAGAGAATATTTTCTTGAGCATTATTGATAATTGCATTTCAAGATTTGTGTGTGTGTGCAGAAGTGCAGTATGATGATTGCCAGGGTGGGGACAGTGGGGCGCGGAGAGTAAGTGGAAGTGAAAGAGGGTATAGGGGATAAATGCTGATTGGAAAAAAATAAAATAAAAATTTTAAAAAAGCGTTTATAATTTTTTTTCATTGAGCTTTCCTTAATAATATTTTCCTCCCTCTGAGAAACTTAATAGTTTTTCCAGATTATTTTACATGAACTTACAGTTAATGTACAGAAGAAATGAAAAGACAAATAATACTTATTTCTTCTTCTTTTGTCATAGGATCAGCGACAAACTGAATCCATCCAGTTGCTGCAGGCCCAGCTGACCAACATGACACAGCTTGTTTCAAACTTATCAGCAACAGTAGCAGAATTGAAACGGGAGGTAATTATTGTATTTTAAGTCAGTACATATGTAGAGGTTGTCATAAAAGCAGATATGTTAAAAACATGGTATCTAGCATTAGCTGGTTTGGCTCAGTGGATAGAGGATCAGCCAGTGGGTTCAATTCTGGTCAGGGTACAAGCCCAGGTTGCTGGCTTAATCCCCAGTAATGGGCATGCAGGAGGCAGTCAATCGATGGTTCTCATCATTAATGTTTCTATCTCTCTCCCTCTCCCTTCCTCTTTGAAATTAATAAAAAAAATATTTAAAAATAAAAGAACATGGTATCTAAGAACTTTCACCAAAGAAAATTGTCATTTATAGAGAACTTTCAGAAAATCAGAATGTGGCATTTTAAAGTTTTAGAAATATATTAATTACCATAATCTTTTGGAAAACATGGCTTTCATAGTTTAGGTCTTACCTAAAATAGTTAGTTATAAAACCATTATTTTAGGCCTTTTGCAAACCATTGATAGTTGCAACACACACTTCATTTTTAGTTCAAAAAGGCTTGAGTTACTTAACAAAGGAAACATCTCATTTATTTAATATTTATTGAGTAACCAGTACTTATGAGGCATGAATTTTATCGTCCCAGGTTGGGACACATAGCAGTGAATAGTCCCTGGCTTAAACATGGGGAGGACAGTGGCGTAGAAAATGGTGAGATGTGAGTGTGGGGAGTGGTAGTGATAAGGGTTGCAGCTGTGGCCACAGTGATGTTGGGAGGCTTATCTGAGGAGGTAACATTAGAACTGAGCACTCAAGAGGAGTTAGCAGTCAGAGGTTGGGGTTAGAACAAACCTGTTACTAGACAAACTAGAGCAAAGAACTTGGGTTAGAAATTGATTGTTTAATGCAGAAAGAAAGTTGGTGTGATTGGAGCTGAGCGAATGAGAGAAGTAAGTTTAGGATATTGCAGGAGCCCAGTCACATAGCCTTTGTAGGCAATTTAGATTTGAATTTTATTCTAATCATTGCAAGTCATTGGCAAGTATTATGTAAAGAACTGACATGGGCCATCTCATTGACAACACTTTGAGAAAGTCCCCAATTATTGCTCTGTGGGGAGTTATCTCTTGGGGAACAGCGGGAGCAGAAGTAGGGAGGAAACTTAGGAGGCTGTGGCAGTGGCCAGGTGAGGGGATGTTGGCTTGGACTAAGATTTTGGATGTGGAGAAGAGTGTTAAGTTGTTGAATTCAAGATGTATTTAAGAGGAGAAAGAGAAGCCTTACTGAAAGATTGGGTGTGTGGGGTGAGGAATTGATGATCCCCAGGTTTTGGTTTAAATAAATAAGTGATTGGTGGTTCAGTTTTATAAGATGGAAAAGACCAGGTAAGAGCACTACTTTTTTCTCCTCAAGGAGGAAATAGTGCAAATGAAAAGATAAAACAAATGTGCCAGAATGTTAACAATTGGTGAAAGGCACCAATATGTTCATTGTACTACTTCTAAAACTTGCGTAGGTTAGAAAATCTCAGTGAATTGGGGGGAAAGGAGAAACATTAAAACATTGTTGTGGCAGTATGTTTCAAAGAGCAGACCCTGCATTATGATTATGAAGCACATTAAGAAAATGTTGAGATTTGTCATTTGAATTTTAAATCCCACTATGGTTTTCCTGATGTGATTTTTAAAGTACTACTATTCTCCCTTCTCATCTCAGGTTTCAGATCGGCAGAGCTATCTCATCACTTCTTTGGTTCTTTGTGTGGTTTTGGGATTGATGCTTTGTATGCAGCGCTGTCGAAACACTTCTCAATTTGATGGAGATTACAGTTCAAGACTTCCTAAAAGTAATCAGTATCCAAGCCCTAAAAGGTAATGTCAGTATTATATTTCACTTTTTTTTTTTACTATTCTTTTTATAATTTTGAGAATTTTGGTCAAATGGATATTGAGTTCATTTCTTAGAGAATAATCCTAAATATTTTTTTACATGTATTAGCAATAACTGGAGTGTTACATTAGGGATTATTCTTATGTGGTATGTACAGCTCTCAATAGCTTCCATCTAGCCTCAACTACAGCGTAAATTACATGTCATGTACTCATTGTGTTCTCTGTTGGTTTTTCTTAATGTGTTAGGTGTTTTTCTTCCTATGATGATATGAATTTGAAAAGGAGAACTTCATTTCCACTCATCAGATCCAAGTCTCTACAGTTAACTGGCAAAGAAGGTAGGTGTTTATGAATATATAATTTGTACATATATATGTACAGACATGAATCTAGCTTACTTTGGGGATAAGTATAACATCAGTGTTTTGTTGGAAACCATCTGCAACAAATAATGGGTACAGTCAAAGCCACCTGTTATTTTCACACTTTATATGTATCTCTGTTCCTGAAAGCCCAGCGGGTGGGAGGGGCTGAGTTTATTGAGCCATTGGTAGCTTTGTTTGCACTTGCTCCTGTTTAGAAGTATTTCTTTTTAGAAAGGGATGTTTGAGACAGTTCATCAGATATGGAAAACCTGAATGTGCTCCCATAGCTCCTGTGCTTATCTGCTTCCTCTTCCTGTACAGGTAGGACTCCTTTTGCCTCTAGTTCAGAACTATGAGGCAATTCTGAAAAAAATCTGGTCTTTCTCTTTTCTAAAGCTCAGAGTCTATAATAGCATTTTATTTTCATTGGCTAATACTCAATGAATACTTAAATTTCAATGAATAGATGTGTACTGAGTGGCTGTTTTCCTATGTTAGTACTTTTTGTAAGTAGTGCTTTAATTAGTGCTTATTAAGAGAGTTATCCTTCTAGCAATACTAAAGTAACCAAACTAATGCTATATTTCAATTAGCAGTGCTTTCTTAATCATTGGCTTCTCTCTTTCTTTAGGATTTAGTAATTAAGCAGCCTATTTCAATTGATTCTATTATTCAAGTAATCATTCCTGAACTTTATTGGTTTGCTATTACTACAAAGGTTCACAGATTTAACTCATTCATGTATGTTTACTTAGGAATAGTAACTTTCTTCCTCCTTTCTCCTGTTTTTATATCTTTTTTCTTCTTTTGGCTGATATGTCTATTTGCATCTGAAAATTTTAATAGAAATATCTCCAGAACTTTTTTATTTTGTAAATCTAAAACTCTACATACATTACACAGCTCCCTTTTCCCCCCTTCACCCAGCCCCTGGTAATCACAACTGTGTTTTCTGTTTTTCTTGAACTTAACTACTGTAGATACCTCATGTATGTGGGATCCTGTAGTAGTTGCCTTTCTGTGCTGGCTTATTTCACTTAGCACAATGTCCTCAAGGTGCATTCATGTCATAGCATGTGACAGAATTTCCTTCATTTTTAAGACTGAATAATATTTCCATTATACGTATATGCTACATATTATTTATTTATCTGTTGTTAAGTATTTGGATTGTTTCCACTCCTTGGCTATTGTGAATGTTGTCAGTATAGACTTGAGTGTGCAAAGATCTCTTCAAGACCTTGCTTTCAATTCTTAATGGACATATACCCAGTGTGGGATTGCTGGATCATATGGTAGTTCTACTTTTTGAGGACTCTTTGTATTGTTTTCTATTTTACTGTCCTACCACCATTGTATAGTGGTTTCAGTTTTCTTCATATCCTCATCAACACTTGTTTTCCGTGTTGTTGTTGTATTTTTTTTGTTTTGTTTTTTTAATATAGTAACTGTCCTAATGGGTCTGAGGTAGTATAACTCACTGTGGTTTAGATTTCCATTTCTCTGATGATGGGTAATGGTGAGCATCTTTTTATGTGCTAGTTGACTATTTTATAAATCATATTCAAACCCTTTTCCCATTTTTAAATTAGGCTATTTGGTTTTTTTTGTTTGTTTGTTTAATTGTAGGAGTTCTTTATATATTCTGGATATTAACCCTTTATCAGATATATGATTTGCAAATACATTTCTAAGGCCGCCTTTTTTATTTATTTATTTTTTTTAATTTTTAAAAAAATATATATTTTATTGATTTTTTACAGAGAGGAAGGGAGAGGGATAGAGAGCTAGAAACGTCGATGAGAGAGAAACATCGACCAGCTGCCTCTTGCACACCCACTACCGGGGAGGTGCCTGCAACCAAGGTACATGCCCTTGACCAGAATCGAACCTGGGACCTTTCAGTCCGCAGACCGACGCTCTACCACTGAGCCAAACCTGTTTCGGCTTTTATTTATTTTTTAATTTCTCACCTAAGGATATTTATTTATTTATTTATTTATTTATTTATTTATTTATTTTAGAGAAGAAAGGGAGAGAGAAACATCAATGTAAGAGAGAAACATTGATCAAAGGCCTCTGCTCTACATGCCCCCACTAGAAATTGAACCCACAACCTAGGTATGTGCCCTGACTAGGAACCGAACCTGTCATGTAAAGGACAATGTTCAACTAACGGCCACCTGACCAGGGCCTTAGGCTGACTTTAAAAATATATTTTTATTGATTGCAGAGAAGAAGGGAGAGGGTGAGAGAGATAGAAACATCTATGATAAGAGAGAATCATTTATTGCCTCCTGCACATCCCACAGTGGGATCAAGCCTTCAACCCCAGCATGTGCCCTGACGGGAATCAAACTATAGTCTCCTGGTTCATAGGTCGATACTCAACCACTGAGTCATGCTAGCCATGCATAAGTTGACTTTTGATTGCGTTCCTGATAGACAAGAGTGTTTACGTTGGCATAGTCCCATTTGTCTACTTTAGGTTTTGCTGTCTGTACTTTAGATGTCATATATTCAAGAAATCATTGTCTCCCTTGCCATTGTGGCTCAGTTGGTTGAGTGTCATCCTACGTACCGAAAGGTCACTGCAGGAGGCAGCCAATTAATGTTTCTCTCCTTCTCACTTCTAAATTGTCTTTAAAAAAGGCAATAAAAACATTAAATTATTGCCAAGTCCAGTGTCATTTTCTTTTAGAAATGTCATAGTTTTAGGTCATATGTTTAGGTCTTTATCCATTTTGAGTTAATATGGTGTGAGGTTGTGAGGTAAGGGTCCAATTTCAGTTTTTTGCATACAAGATACTCAGTTTCCCCAGCACCATTTGTTGAAGAGACTTTCCTTTCCCTGGTGAGTGGCCTTGGCACCTTTATTGAAGATTATTTGACCATATGTGTGAGGGTTTATTTCTGGGCTTTTAAAAAACTGCTTTGGTCTATTTGTCTATCTTTATGCTAGGTTATTTTGGATTTTCTGTGAATACAGGCATGTCTTTTTTAAATTCCTGTTTAAATTTGTTGGGCTTTTTGAATCTCTGAATTGATATCTTTTTATAAACTGGGAAATTGTTGGCTATCTCCTCTCCCTCAATACTACCTCTTCCTTATTTTAGAATCTCCATTTAATTAAATGTGTTAGTTCTTCTCTCTGTATCTCCTTTGTCTCCTCAACTCCTCTTATCTTCCATCTTTTTGCTTTTTTTGTGCTGTTTTGGATGATTTCGTATGATCTGTTTTCCAGACCATAGCTGTTTATAGTCCACTATTAAATTCATCCATTGACTTTTAAATGTCATTATTTCCCATTTCTAAGAGTTTTTATTTTTTTAGTATTTATTTTTAAATATATTTTATTGATTTTGTATAGAGAGGAAGGAAGAGAGATAGTTAGAAACATTGATGAGAGAGAGTCATCGATTAGCTGCCTCTTGCACACCCCCTACTGGGGATACCAAGATACATGCCCTTGACTGGAATCGAACCCGGGACACTTCAGTCCCCAAGCCCACGCTCTATCCATTGAGCCAAACCGGTTTCGACAATTTTTTAGTATTTTTTAAACATCCAGGTCTTTTTTGTTTTGTTTCTTGAAGATATTTTCAAGCTTGGTTTTTTATTTTATATATAGTAGGTATAAATATTTATAGTCTATATTTGATCATTCTAATATCTTAAAAATTTAAATATCTATTCATTAGTTGTCTTTGCAGACTGTTGCTCAGGTGCTTTTAGGTTTGTGTGCATGGTAGATTATCTGTTTGCTAATCCTTCTTTTTGAAAAGTTATTTATAGGGACAATTTGAGAGCTAATATGTAGGAGAATTTGTGTTTGCTTGACATTCAGGAAAACTTGACATTCATGGCTTAAGGCTTGTTGGACCACCAGGTGATTTGGACAGTCACTCTATGGATTCATTCTTTTCCTGAGGGTCTAGTCATTTGGAGTCCCAGCTTACCATTGGGGAGACAGAGGGGATGTTACAAACTGCTGCTTTGAGTGGGCCTTGGGGCTTGATTTTTGATGTATTCCCTTATGTTGCCACCAAAACTCAGGTCCACATATTCTTGCATTGGCATATGCTCTCTGGACAAAAATGGCTTTTGTGGTCCTCTTGACTTTTTGAATTCCTACTTTTCCTTCAATTTTGGTCTAGAGATTGCTCACTTATCTTGGCAGCTTTTAAATGCTTTTAGTGATTAAAAAAAATCCATCACATTTAGTTGCTTTCATTGGAGAGACTGTTCTGAATAATACTTAATACACACTACAAAGGTAGATATAGGTTTTTGTTTCATTCCGCAGGCCGATGCTCTATCCACTGAGCCATACCAGTTAGGGCATAGACATAATGTTTTTTAAAAAAACAATTTGAGTGAGAATAGTAAATTGATAGAAATGACTGTTTAAGGAATGGTTAGATATTTTTATATATTTCATGACTATCTCAATAAATTTCTAGGACATAATATAAAAATATAATGATTAATCATGTTAATAAATTTCTAGCATCTGAAGTTTCAGAGTAAATTTTCTCCTTACAAACTTCTGCCTCTGTCATATCACAGATCCTTTACTCTTAATTGTCTAAAAGGGATGAAGTCTCATAGCCCCTCTTGTGTATTTGTGTCTATCGTGTCCATGGGGGTGGCATAAGGCTGTCTTAAATGTGCTTGGAGTAATGAAATTTTAGAAACCTAAAACTAATGTTTCTAATTTCCTCACCATGCCAGAGTGATCACTCATTACCCTTTGCTCATTTATATTGCATGTTGAAGCTGTTTTTAGGTTTTGGAGTTCATAGTTTTTATTATAGTAAATCATAGTAATAAACAATTAGAAAAAAGTCACAGATCTGGTTTTGTGTATGTGTTCCTCTGACTTTCATACATTGCCATAGCTGCTTGTTGCACAGTGTTGACCCACATTTGTGGTACAGTGTAGAGATTAGTCTTTTAGGGGAAAAAGATGATCTGTAGGTTTGGTATTAGTATTGGTGGTGATGTTATTTTCTCAACAGGTAAGAGGGGAGGACTGGGCCTATCTGTTAGCTGATAGTTAGCTGGTAAAGACTGAGGGAAGGGCACCAAGCATAAGATAAGAATGGAACCATCTCCCACCTTGCTCCTGCCTTGTTGCTCTTAATTTACTAACTTAAAATGCATAATTATATGGTTAAGTTTCTTTTAGAAAAATCCCTAAGGAGTAGTATAATATTTTATTGTGTTTAATTAAAACCTAACCTGCTTTACATCTACTTTTATTTTTTTCTTATTTTAGTAGACCCAAATGCTTTGTACATTGTAGAACCCCTCAAGTTCTCTCCAGAGAAAAAGGTAATATTTTGTTTCTTTTTAAATGTCTTGTTTGACTATGTGGTAGTAGATGAAGAAATAGGTTTGAAAGGTTTTATATAACCTTTAAGTGGTACTTAAATTACTCTTTCTTTCCAATCATGGTAATGATATAAATCATTGTTTACAAGTGTTAGCTGACTACTCTCTGCTACATTTCTGGCCTGTGGCATATTTTGTATGAACCTGGAGCGGTTTTTAAAGGGTTGTAAAATAAAAAAGAACATTCCAGAGATAAATGTGTGACTTAAAAGCCTAAGATCAGTATGTGTGAAAGCTTGCTGATCCCTGGCTGATAATCATGGATGGAGGGCCAGTGCGTGTCAGGCACAGAGTGTGCACTGTCCTATAATCCTCAAACAGCCTCGTTTTTAATGTTATTTATTATTTTTTTTAATCCTTACCCGAAGATACTTTTTTTTTTTAATTGACTCTAGAGAGAGAGAAAGGGGCAGAGAGAAAGAACATTGATGTGAGAGAGAAACATTGGTCAGTTGCCTCACATATGAGCCCTGACTGAGAATGGAACCCGTAACTTACATAGGTATTTGCCTGACTGGGAATCAAACATGCAACATGTTGGTGTACAGGATAACACTACAATCAGCTGAGCCACCTGGCTAGGGTACAACCTCATTTTATAAGCAGTTTTTGTCTTTATGTGACCAATAGGTGGCAAATCTCAGAATAAACTTAGGTTTTTTTTTGTTTCTGAAGCTTGAGCTTTTTCCATTTTGCCTCTCCAAGTAAATTGTGCTCATCTTGATTAGAGGTGATTGTAGGTGAAAGAATGTGGGCTTTCGAGTCAAATAGCCTGGGATACAGTCACAACTTGGCTACTTACTATGTTCTAAGTTGTTAGGGACCCAAAACCAGGGATACAGTCCTCACCTATCAGGGTTGGTAAGTAAGATATACATGAAAGCAGCTAGTAAAATATGTGGTGCATCGTAGGTATTCAGATGTGAGTTGGCATTCCCATATCTGTATTCAGAGATAGCAGTGAGAGCTTTTACCAAGTGGCATTTACTTAGGAAGGCAATGAAGGTATTTACAAAATAGACCATTGTTACTTTCACCAGGAGGTGGCGCTTCTCTTCCATTAGCTCAGTTCTCTGGATGTTTGATGAGCTAGCTAACTATTGGAGGTCTAATTCCTTCTTTTACTTGTGTTGTAGAAGAAACGCTGCAAGTACAAAACAGAAAAAATTGAGACCATAAAGCCGGCAGACCCATCGCACCCTATAGCCAACGGAGACATTAAAGGAAGGAAGCCCTTCACGAACCAGAGAGACTTTTCTCACGTGGGAGAAGTGTATCACTCTTCTTACAAGGGTCCTCCCTCGGAAGGGAGCTCGGAAACTTCGTCACAGTCAGAAGAGTCTTATTTTTGTGGCATTTCAGCTTGCACGAGTCTGTGCAATGGACAGTCCCAAAAGACAAAAACTGAGAAGAGGGCTTTAAAACGAAGGCGCTCTAAAGTCCAAGACCAAGGGAAGTTGATAAAGACTCTGATACAGACTAAGTCAGGGTCATTGCCGAGCCTGCATGACATCATCAAAGGAAACAAAGAGCTCACTGTGGGGACGTTTGGTGTGACAGCAGTCTCGGGACACATCTAGAATAATCGAACTTTTCATACTGGAGACTTTCTGTTGTTCTTTGAAGAACATTCTGTGGTATTTGAAGGGTTGAGGGGAGGGAGAAAATCATAATGGGAAAAGTATTCAGAAATTATGGTTTCTGCCTTTTAAAAGTAGGTGGGATTGTGGCTGTCAGTCTTGGTCAATGAGCTGTAGTTCTGCAAGGCTGATGACTTCTCACAAGGACAGTGGTGGAAATTTTCTAAAGATGTTTTTCCACAGATTAATTACTGGTAGTTTGGAAGCCCATTTCCCTGGGCAGGGTAGGAATGGAAGCCTGAACCTCTTCCTGTAGCTTTGTTCCTATTTCTTGCACCTTCCATATTTATGTGCCTTTTGTCTATTTATAATGCACTGGAAGAGGAGAGGGACTTTTCCTGTCATTTGATTTCTTTGATAACTTCGTTAGTTTTTTTTGAAGCTGCAAACACTACAAGGCTTTAAAGTGATCAGCTCCTGGAGCTCAGTACGTGGGTCAGACGGTGTGAAGAGCCTGCAGACTTGCCAGGTAGACCTCTGTTTAGCAAACTCACCTGAAACAAGCACTCGCTGGAATTTTTAAGTCTGTTTTTAGGTAAATGGTGATATGTTAAATGTTGTTTTCATTTAATTTATTCACACTCGTTTTCAGTAGTTATTAACTCAATGAAGAAAACAAACTACAAGATCTTTTCTTACAAATGACTGGTATTTGCAAATAAATTTTTTATAAATTCACCTTTTAAACATATGTAACCACTGGTAAAGGCTTTCTGTAGCTACATTACATTTTAAACATTCACAGTAAGCACCAGTCCTGCAGACATTCCTTAGTACAAATAGAAAATGTGAGTGTTTCTCCATGAGTCCAGGACCCGGGTGACACAGTCCCTGCCCAGGGATGTGCACAGAACTAGCCAGTGAGTTTGCCGAGCCTGTCAAATTGGTCACGTCACAGGGATTGCTAGTCCTCGGTGTTGGCTTTGTATTGGCTACAAATGTGCAGAGTTGTACATGTGTGCTGTCCATATGTCTGTCTTCATTTTGTCCTTATATTTCTTTAATTGGCAGAAACTGTATTTGTATGTATTTGTACAGTAATGAGTGAAAGTGGGAAGTTTCTTTTTGAAAGGGAGAGAGTTGACCATTTTGTGTTGTCAGACTTAAGTTATAACTTATTGAGCACTTTTTGTAGTAACTGTTTAAATTTGTCTAATACCTTTCTGGGTATTGTTTGTAATGTGACTTATTTAAAGCCTTTTTGTTTAAGTTGCTGCTTTAGGTTAACTGTGTTTTAGGTGATTGACTTTTTTTCTCAGTCTGTACAATTAGCCATTCAGAGCGAGAGGGTCTGATTGCACAGAAACCCACTGAAGAGCGAGGTTCAGGGGAAGCAGAGGCAGAGCGAAGCTGAGCACTGCAGCACCTGCCCTGTGCAGGGCGACGCTCAGTGTAACCACGGAGCTGTAGTGCCGTTAGAAACTGTGAATTTCCAAATAAATCTGAACACTTGTCTTTATTAATTGCTGCCTCCTCTGTTCTTTGAAGGAAAATGTACAAATTTGTTACTCTGAATATAGATTTGTTTTTGCCACTTCAGAAACCAAGTTCAGCAGCATTCTGTTCCATAATTGGTCACATTTCTGCCAACTGCAAGCTGAACTGTCCCATGAACATTTTACTGTCATACAGTCACAGTTTCATCCTTTCAAACCCTAAAAGAAGGCGCTGAATTTTTAGTTAGTAGATTGAATACATGTATATGCTTTTCTCCTGTTTGGGGCTATCTTTACAACTAATTTAATTTTTCCACATGTAATTAGAGCAAAGCATTTTATAATTTTGGTTTTATTTTTCCACTCTGAGGTTATACCTAAATAAGGAGAAAAATGTGAAAATTCCTGTTAGTAGATTGTGCCTACTAAGAAGCAAAGCTATGTATATATGAGGCGGGCAAAAAGTAGGTTTACAGTTGTGAGTACATGGAACATAACTTATTCTCATATTATTAAGTATTATATTATTTTCCACACGTTTTTTGACATTAACAACTGTAAACCCACTTTGCCCACCCCTGTATATGGCAGCTCCTTGCTAGTCCACCTCAGTCTACTTCTCATGTTAAGTAAAGCATTAAAATAGTATACAGTAAGAAGAAACTGAGGGTTTGAAGAGCAAAGACACAAAGCAAAACATATTTTAGTTGAGTTTTTTTTTAAACATATATATAATTTGAGGAATTTTATATTTTTAAATATTTTTTATTGATTTTTTTACAGAGAGGAAAGGAGAGGGATAGAGAGTTAGAAACATCAATGAGAGAAACATCGATCCTACTGGGGATGTGCCTGCAACCAAGGTACATGCCCTTGACTGTAATTGAACGTAGGACCCTTCTATCTGCAGGCTGTTGCTCTATCGACTGAGCCAAACCGGTTAAGGCAGGAATTCATTTTATAAAGCTTATACAGAAAAACAGTTCTCTGCTCTCTACCACTTCACCCCTCCTAAGTGTCCAGGAAAAGAAGAGAGAATGGGAATTGAACCTGCAACCTTTTGGTGTATGGATACTTCAACCAACTGAGCTTCCTGACATTGGCTTAGCTCTTACGCTTGTCTTCTTTTCCCAATAATCTTATACCCAGTTTTTTCCTCTAAACTAGTATCTTTCCATATCATGTTGCCTAATTTAGTTGATTACTCTGAACCAATGGAGTCCATGACTTTTGATTCCATTATGCACTTCTAGTAGAGTTTTCCTGTCTTTGCTCTTCCCTGCATGAATTGTAGGGGATTTGCCTCCGCAGATGCAATATATCATCAGCTTTATGTCCACCTGTGTATTGTCCAGCTATTTTCTGGGAGATGCTCTGTTTAATGGGTATTGAAAGAATGCCTGCAGCATGTTTATTAGATGAAAGTGTATGAGTACTTCCAAAAGATATTTTGATTCAGTGAGGTAAAGTAAAAATATTTCATGAGCACAATTGACCAGGCAGGGACTGCCACAACCCTTGACCTTTGGGGAAGTCCACCCAGGGCAATTCTAAGAACCAGGCAACAATGAAGAGAAATGAACAGCTTTTTCATCGGTGGTGAAGAAAAGTCTGCTCTGCCCAGGAGCAGACAATCAGAATTCTTATTTATTGGGGTTTATGGAACTTTAAAAGAGGAAGTACAAAAATGACTCAAAATCCCCACATGAAAAAGAAGATTGATTTGAGGGAGCAGGAGATGCTAAAGAATATCACATCAAAGAGATTCTAAGTAAAAATAAGCGACACAGCAGAGAACGGAAACTGTGGCTCTCCCCCCGCCTCAATAGTCTCTGATCTCCCCCCACAACCCCAAGAAACCCTGCACATGTATCTATCACAAGAGCCCCATTTCAACTTGAGCTCTGGTCAGTGTGTGTGTCTGTCTCAGAGCAATCTAGCACTTCAAGTCACTCAGAAATGCCTGCAGGGCCCTGAGACCTGTCCCAGGCTAGCTCTTGGCCCATCGCTGCTTGCCTATTATAGTTCCATCAATTAAGTAAAACTGAGCATTTCAGAGTGTTTATTTTTCACTGTAGCCTAGGTCAGTTTAGAGCCACCTCTGCTGGCTATTGGAATGCAAACATTAGTGAGCTTATAAGTTACCAGGAATGAGAGTCTGAGTCTGGTGCCAACCAGATCACCTTCAGTCAATCCTGTGCTGACTATAAATTGATTCATACTGTTATTTATGAAAAAAAGGTTAATCCATCGCTGAATAGAGGCTGTGCATTGAATTCTCGTTCTACCACAGTTACCATACTTAAAGACAATCTATACATGAAATCTGAGAAATTATTTTTTAAGTTGATTTGACAGAGAGATTTGTTGTTCACTTACTTATGCATTTATTTATTGCTGCTTGTATGTACCTTCACTGGGGATCAAACCTGCGACTTTGGCATATTGGGATGATGCTCTCACCAAGTGAGCTACATGGCCATGGCCAAAGGAAATGGTTTCTTGTCTTCAAGATTACCACTGAGGAACATTCATTGCTAATATATTCCATACCTCCTGTAAGAAGAATTATGGATGCAAACTACCACTGGTAAGGAGCTGAACTAATTTTTCCCAAATCTGTAATCTAGCCTCTGTTGAGACTATAGCTTGTGTTTGAGATGGTGGTTAGCTGGGATTGGCTGTGACGTTAGATCTTTATGGGTTATTTTGGGCTAATCAACAGAATTAACTTCTGTTTCTAAGACCTATGAACACCATAGCAATTTTTTAATCTCTTTCAGAGGGCAACATGAGTCACTTTCTTATTTTCATTGCCTTTCTCCATAGAGGACATAGAAGAAATGTCCAAAATAAAAGTATAAGAGAAAAACCTACTAGTTTTTTTGTTTGTTTGTTTTTTATAGTAAAGGGGCTGCAAGAAAACTAGAGACATAAATGACCAGGGAGACTGGGTCAGAAGGCTGAGTCCAGGACAAGATCAATCCTCATAGGCATTTATGGCAAGTAAATAATGACTCTCCCTCACTCACAAAATACATTCACTTCCAGGAGGTAAGCTCCCTGGGGAACTTCTACTTGAGTAACTTGAGACTGAGGACATGTGGAATTCATTTCTTGTCTTCCTAGAGGCCCTCAGAGGGTGTTCCAGGCAGGTGTCTGGGGCGGGGGAGGGGGTGAATGTAGGATAGAATGGGAACCTCTGCCCAAGGACCCTGGGTTTTATATCTTGTGATAGGCTGTCTCTTAGTCCTTCAGGAGGGGGAGGGCATCTGTCACAGAGGTTTATTTCCTGCTTTAAGGGGCACAGAGCAGTCAGAGAGCTCTTCCCACTGCTGCTGCTTTTCAGGTGATTTTAGTGCAAAATAACCCGAATGCCATTGTGGGATATCTTGGAGCAGCCCAGGGTCCCAATACTATCATGGTAGGATGTTTAAATTTTATTTTATTGGATTTATTGGGGTGACATTGGTAAATAAAATTATACAGGTTTCCGATTCCACA